AATTACAACCCATAGGTTGAACTTATATAATATGGTTATAGATAACTTTGTGTACTGAACATTCAGAAGGAATATTATGTAATGATACTTTTCCTTCCATTTCAATCTGAAATGTATATTACTGGAACCATTCTGCAACTGGAATCCAGCTACACATAGACCTACTTTATCTGCCTCCAGTTTAAAAACAAAAAGACAAACAAACAAACAAACAAACAAACCCTCTGTCTATCAGTTCCACAGCCTTAGAATTGCTTCATAAGAAAAATAGCTTTTAAAAAGAGTATATTCAAGGGTGCCTGGGTGGCTCAGATGGTTAAAGGTCTGCTTTTGCTTCAGGTCATGATCCCAGGGTCTTGGGATCAAGTCCCACTTTGGGTTCCCTGCTCAGTGGGGAGTCTGCTTCTCCCTCTCCATCTGCCTGAAGCTCTCCCTGCTTGTGCTCTCTATCAAATAAATAAAATCTTAAAAAAATAAAAAATAAAAAAAGAGTATATTCGATTTTTAACCTTCTTGCTCCTTAACCAACACAACCCCAAGACAATATGTAAACTGGAACCATGAAATAAAAACATTTCTCATAAAAATTTTTTAAAAAATCTTTTTATCAAATCATCCTGGCTCTTAAAGCTTAAAGAAATCAGCTATCTGCCACCTATGTGTAATAAAGATCCTAGGCAAAAACCAAAACAGACAAACAACAACAAAAAAACCCAAACCATTGGATATTTCTTAGCCCAAGAACTTCCATTTATGTTATTATTTTATACTCTGTACTTTATATAAATATATACTCTGTACTTCTTGCATTTCAAAATCTCTGCGACAGTAAGAGGAAAAATGCCCAAGGAAGGTTTTTGCCAGTATCTCGAAAGAAATTCTGCTCTACCTTAGTATTCCAGAATATCCATGCTCTGATAAGTATGGCCCATATGTGTTTCTCCTTAGGAACAGAATGTTTTGCGGAGAGATTTCTCCAAAGGAATGAGGTGGTTTAGGGTATAACTGACATGAATAAATATCCTTTCTTTTTTGAGAACTGAAAATCAAGGTTTTACAAATGTCAGGAACCAGAAACCAAGGCTGGGCTATCCACAGGAATAGTGATTTAAAGGAAGGATGGGAGGGAATTTCCACGTGTGTACTTCCCCTACTTATGCTATTATATTTGACTTCTCTCCTGTTGAAAAAATTAAATAAAATTAAAACTCAAAATACACAAAACAGATAATCATGTCAAAAAATGGGCAGAAGACATGAACAGACACTTCTCCAATGAAGACATACAAATGGCTAACAGACACATGAAAAAATGTTCATCATCAGTGGCCATCAGGGAGATTCAAACCAAAAACACATTGAGATACCACATTATACCAGCTAGAATGGCCAAAATTAACAAGACAGTAAACAACAAGTGTCAGAGAGGATGTGGAGAAAGGGGAACCCTCTTATACTGCTGGTAGGAATGCAAGTTGGTGCAGCCACTTTGGAAAACAGTGTGTAGATTCCTTAGGAAATTAAACATGGAGCTACCCTATCACCCTGCAATTGCACTACTGGGTATTTACCCCAAAGATACAGATGTAGTGAAAAGAAGGGCCATCTGTACCCCAATGTTCACAGCAGCAATGGCCACAGTCGCCAAACTGTGGGAAGAACCAAGATGCCCTTCAATGGACGAATGGATAAAGAAGATGTGGTCCACATATACTATAGAGTATTATGCCTCCATCAGAAAGGATGAATACCCAACTTTTGTATCAACATGGACGGGACATGAGGAGATTATGCTGAGTGAAATAAGTCAAGCAGAGAGAGTCAATTATCATATGGTTTCGCTTATTTGTGGAGCATAAGGAATAACACAGAGGATATAGGGAGATGGAGAGGAGAAGGGAGTTGGGAGAAATTGGAGGGGGAGATGAACCATGAAAGACTGTGGTCTCTGAGGAACTAACTGGGGGTTTTGGAGGGGAGGGGGGTGGGAGGTTGGGGGAGCCTGGTGCTGGGTATTATGGAGGGCATATATTGCACGGGGCACTGGGTGTCGTGCATAAACAATGAATTCTGGAACACTGAAAAGAAATTTAAAAAATAAATAAAAGTTTTTAAAAATGAAAAAAATAATAATATAAAAGGAGGGATAGGAAAGAGTCAATGAACTAAAAACCTAGGAATCTGACTTCCCAAGTCATACCTAAATATAGATGCTCAGTTTTTGGAAGACAGTCCCAAATACTTATCCTCTGTTTCTTTTTTGCTGTTTGCCTTCTCCCCAGTTGACAGCCTCTATCCTTATCTGCCTTCTCTGTGTCCTGGTGGATTCCAGCCTTTCTAAGGTCTCTAAGTTTATATGGCTTCCCAGCCTGGAATTTAGTACATATTCTGCCCAGCAGAGGAAGGAAAAGACAGCAAGGAAGGAAAGAAAATCTCTGCCCTCAAGATGCTTACATTCTAGTGGGAAGAAAAAGATAATAAACAAAATAAGTAATTAAAATATAGAAATATTAATTGACCCTAAGACAGTGCTGGTATTTGAACTATTTGACCTGCAAAAATGGCGATTTCATATGAGTCAACCCATATTAAATGGCAATGAATATTGTCTTAAAAATGAAGTAGGGGGGCGCCTGGGTGGCTCAGTTGGTTAAGCAACTGCCTTCAGCTCAGGTCATGATCCCAGAGCCCTGGGATCGAGTCCCACATCGGGCTCCCAGCTCCATGGGGAGTCTGCTTCTCCCTCTGACCTCCCCTCTCATGCTCTCTCTCACTCAGTCTCTCTGTCTCTCAAAATAAACAAATAAAAAAAAATATTAAAAAAAAAAATGAAGTAGGGGAGCATAGGTAGTAGGGTTGATAAGGGAATGAGGGCAGAGAGGGTTACAATGTAAAATAGGGCAATCTGGGGTCCCTGCATGCTCAGTAGGTTAAGTGTCCGACTCCTGATTTCAGCTCAGGTCATGATCTCAGGGTCATGATCTTAGTGTGGAGATCAAGCCCTACAGTTGCTCTGCACTCATCAAGGAACCTGTTTAAGATTCTCTCTCCCCCTCTCCCGCTGCCCCTCTCTGCCCTCCTGCTTGCACACACTCTCTTTCTCTCAAAAAACATAAAAATAAAAAATAAAGCAGGGCAATCCTATGTGGTACAGTTTGTGAGACTGTTTTTGCTACTTTGTCATTACTTTTCGAAGGAGCATGCATTCGTTTATAATTAGTTTTTAAAAACTTTATAACATCAAATTTGCTGAAAAACCACAATGAGTCACTTAACATGTAAGTTTTAGGGTATTTACATCAAGCAGGAATATAAGATACAAATCATACTAACACAATCTTATGCTCTATGAAATTAGATTAAATAGCGTGTGGTACAAAGCATTTAATTATATATGTTCTAAACTATTAATTTTAAAAACAAGCAATAAATTATATTTTAATGAGCATAGAAATACAGTTAATGTTATATTTTCTTTCTTTTTAAAAAGATTTATTTATCTACTTTAAAGAGAGAGAGAGAGAGAGAGTGTGTGTGTGTGCATGCATGAGCCGGGGGTGGCGGGGGCGGTGGTGAGGAAGAGGGAGAGAAAGAACTCCAAGCCAACTCCCCACCAAGCATGGAGCCGGATGCAGGGCTCAATTCCATGACCCCAAGATCATGACCAGAACCGAAATCAAGAGTAGGCCACCCAAAGGACTGAGCCACCCAGGTACCCCACGTTACTTTTTTTTTTTAATTTATGTTACATTTTAGAAATGTACATGTTCAAAGAACAAACAACTCCTATAAATGATCATTAATCATTAAGGGATGATTAATTAATGGATTAATGGATCACCCAAAAAGTCACCTTCCACCTAAAACAATGTGTTTCAGTGTTTAAATTGTTTGTGAACTACAAAAATATGAAGAGAGGGGAGACATACTTACAAAAGATATCTATGAGACAACTTAATTAAAAAATAAACTAGGAGTGCCTGGGTGGCTCAGTCAGTTAAGCGACTGACTCCTGGTTTTGGCCCAGGTCATGATATCCAGGCTGTGAGATCGAATCCCACAAGGGCTCTGTGCTCTACACTCAGGGTGTCTCCTGCTTGAGATCCTCTGCCTCCCCCTCTCTGCCTGCCCCCTCCCCCACTCTCTCCCTCTCTCAAATAAATAAATACATAAAATGTAAAAAAAAAGATAAAAAATGAACTAATACATGGCTTAAATATTAACATAAAAGATGGAATTGTAACATTTTGTAAAAAAAATAGTCCACAAAAAATAGGATACTAGTAAGACTCATTATTAAATTAATCCATTGGACATGGTCTGGAATCTAAAAGGAAGATGTGAATTCTCTTTCCAAATACTGACTGACCTAGCTCAATAATCTTAACAGGTCATATATGCCTATTCCCCAAAAGAATTCTAAACCAGTATTGCTCAACAGAACCTTTTGCAGTGATGGAAATGTTCTGCCTTATCCCATAAAGTAACCACTAGCCACATGTGGCTAATGAACACTTGAAGGGTGTCTAACGAAACTGAAAAACAGAATTTCCAAAATTACATCATATTTACAAAATAATCACAGTACCCTAAATCTCAAAGAAACTGACTCCCAAATCAATGCACCTAATGCCATTATTAGGGGTACACATCTGCTGTTCTAAAGAAAGACATTTTAATACCCAAAATATTTTTACAATTTATTGCATTCAGAGGAACTTAGGTCAGATATATTCTTATGCAAAATATTAGAGTAAGTCTTGACTTACACATTACCTTCTTAAATCTGTTACAGCTGTTCAGTTTCAAATGGATATCCATTTCCTATTACTTGCCAGACTTTATAACTTACAATAGATACAAAAGTTTTAAATGTAGTTATCGAACTGATACAGGAAGATGAAGTAAAGTATTGTGAGAAAACAGAACTTTACAAAAGGTTATAAAAGTGGATTGAATGTGTATCTGACCAAAGGGAATGCAGCTCAACAAGGACTTACTGGTTTAGCACGACGTCAAGAATGAAGGATGTTCCAAAGGCATCAACCTGGAAGCTCGCCTGATCAACATGAGTCAACTGCAATATCAAAAAGATGAAAGGTACTTACTATTCAGCCACAGCAATCAGACAATAAGCATTTCTTATGAGGATTCAAAAAGGTTTATAATATCGTAAATTAGAAAACAGGTTCAGCATGGAGCGTAAAGGAAAAAAGTAAAATCCACACCTTCTTAGAAGCCAAGCATTCACCCATCTGAAGTAAAGTACTATCTCACCCCAGAGGGAAGGACCCTACCTTTCTGGTTTACTCAAGTGGCTAAATAGTTCATTTCCAAGAAGACTGCACTTCATCCATTTTACTCTATATTATATGATGGGCTCCTTTAAAATTAAACTTTGTACATTAAAAAAGAGGGAAAAATATGTTCAATTTAAGAGTAAAATAATAAGATGGGTATCAGCTATTTACAAGGAAGGTATCTAAATCTAAAAAAAAAAAAACCTTTTTAATCCTATCTGAAATACATACTTCAAAAATAATATTTCAGTTCTAATTTGCCAAACATAATTTCATAGACGTCTCCATATCTTTTTAGAGCAAAACTCCCAATCTTTGCTAACTACTGAAAATATCACCTATGAAAATTTTTTAGGGGAAAAAAAAATCACAATTTCCTATGTTACTCTAGGAACTCCCAGAGAAAATCACAAGGAACTCTAAAAAAAAAAATGTAATGTTACCAATAATACCAATATTAACATATTGAATAATCACATGCATTAACTGAAAAGAAGGAAACAAAACCATTTATTGTTTGACTCTCCAAATATTAACTATAGCTATAGATAATCAGTAGGACTATGAATTAAATTTTTTGTTTATATTTCTCTAGTATCCAAATTTCTAAAATAAACATGTATAATTCCAACAGTGAGAAAAAAACAAACACTATTTTATAGACAAAAACCATCTGAGCAACCATATTTAAGTAGTACACGAGGCAGATGGTGTTACTGTTCCCAGAAAACCAGCACATCTTAAAAAAAAGAAACACCCTAGGATTCTGTGGGCCATTAAGGGCACCTCAATCATCCCTGGGATTTTCACACATAGTAAGTTTATGGTATCAGGTGAAAGGAGAGAGCTTAATTGATAATAATAAAGCTTTTTGGAAAGAAAAGAGAATTCTTGTCTTTTAAAGTATTTGAAAGAAGTAGGGGTAGAAGAACACTATACCTCAGTTGCTAACACATTCCAATCCCCATGTAACCCCAAGAATGAAGAACTGTTTGGATACCTCTCAGCCTCATTACCTCATTAATCGTTCAACTTTAACTCCCAGTTCTTCCCAAGTAATACCCAGGCTATCACCAAACTCTGGCTTTTTTCCCTTCTTATAGTTTTTGAAACCACACCTTGCTCTTCCCATATCTGCCACAGATCATACTCTCCCTAACCTAAAATTGACTCTTTACCAAAACCCAAATGTAAGCCCCAGATTTTCTACTGTACCAAATACAAATTTTCTCTCCCTGGATATCAAGATTCTCCATAGTCACCTCTCCCACCAGACATAATGGCACACAAGTCCCCAAGGACACACCCATACTCTATCTGTAGTCAATTCTCCCTTCTACACTTTAATTCAACAAGCTGGGTGTATTCCAACTTTTTTTGGTGCCTTTTATCCATCACTTCTGCGGAGCGCCTTTCTGAACCAGACCCTTGGATAGTGATCTTCACCAAGGTCATTTCCCAGAAATGGCCCCTATCCCCCCTTCAAAATGTAGCTCAAGCTCCTCTTTGTATCAGTCTCTTAGGGCTATCACAACAAAGTACCACAGACCAGGAGGCTTCAACAACAGAAATTTACTTTCTCATAGTTTTGGAGGCTGCAACTATGAGATCAAGGGGTAGGTAGATTTGGATTCTCCCAGGACCTCTCTCCTTGGCTTCTCACTGTCCTCATGCAGCTTTTTCTCTAGACATGTGCACACATGGCACACCCTAATTACCTCATTTAACCTCAGTTACGTCTGTAAAGGTCTTATCTCCAGAGTCACAGCAGGGGTTAGGGCTTCAACACAGGAATTTTGGAGGAGACACGGTTCAGTCTAAACACTCCTCCTCCATGAAGTCTTCCCAGTCTTTTCCAACCACCTCCTCACCTCCTCCTCAAACTGTTCACTATCATACAAGGGCCTCAGTAGTGACCCGCATCAGGTACTCGATAAGTATTTCCTGACTGACTCATTTGAGGGTTTATCAGTCACCTGGATACATAAACGAACAACAACGGAACAGCTATAAATTACCTGCCTAGAGAAATGCACTCCTTCCATCAAAGTTGTTCTTAATGCCACGTCAATGGATAATGTCTTTCCTTTTGTCTAAAAGCTTTCTGAGTTTCCTGAAGTGCTAACAACCATGTTTTGGAACAGCCTGCGGAAAGTGCTGCTTACCAGAAATGATGTCTCCATTAAAACCTCTCTTCTCTCCATTCTTTCTTGGCACATAACTGGGGTGAATAAGGGAGAGGCCCCATGCTATTCATCATGGTCTCCTGATTCAGTGTAGGGATCAAGATAACATTGCCATTCTTTCTCAGCAAGATACTTATTGTTTATACTAATTTCATCTAATTCTTACGATTTGTTTTTCCTGCAGCTTCAGTTTAGAACAGCTAGTATCTTATTTTATTGATCTCGCACATGTCCCAAAGAGAAACACATTACTTAAATTCAAAAGAAAACCTATTGACAGCATGTTTAACTGCTGTTTAGTAAAAAATGCTTGCATTATTGATAGTAACAGGAACAACAGTATATTAATATTGTTTTAATCTCAGTCAAGCTTCCTTAGTCTATATACAGATTGATTCACTCAACAAAAACCTTCTGAGAGTCTAGCAAGTGCTGGGAGCTATTCTGATTTAGTGAAGAAAACTGACCCCGTTTCTCTGTTAGTGGAGCTTATTTTTTAGGGGAGGGAGACAGAAAGTGACAAATGACAGACGAAAAATAAAAAATAAACTGAGAAAATAAATACATTATTCCCAGATTTAATAAAACATGGTAAACAGGTGACCAGGGTTGGGATTCTAGGTGGTCCTAGAAGGCTCTGGGAGGATCTGGCATATAGGTGACACATGAGTGAGTAAAAGGAATCTGTAGTAGATGGAATAATGGCCCTAAAGATGCCCGCACTCTAATCCCAGAAACCTATGAACATATTATCTTACACGGCAAAAGGGAATTAGCATATGTGACAAATTTAAGCACCTTGAGATGGAGAGATTATCCTGGGTTATCCAGGTGGGCCCAATTTAATCAAAAGAGTCCTTGTAAGACCAGAGTCTTAGAAGGGTCAGAGTCAGAGGAGATGTGATGATGGAAATAGACATTAGAATAAGGAGAGACAAAAGCCATATGCCAATGGATACTGGAAGCCTCTAGATACTGGAAAAGGCAAGGAAAATTCTCTGCTAGAGAAAAACAGTATTGCCAACATCTGCATTTTAGCTTTGCAAAACCCATTCCAGGCATCTCATCTACAGAATTTTAAGAAAATTAATTTTTGTTGTTTTATAATATTAAGTTTGTCATAATGTTTTACAGCAGCAATGGGAAACCCAATACAGCATCACTGGCAATGTACCTGAACATTAAGAAAAGCAGTTGCCATAAAGAGCTGATTTCACCAGTGGTTCAATGTCATTCTCTTCCACGGATTGGTTAAAACCAAGGCTCTCACAGCTGGAGCTCAGACATTCATGAAGGCACAAGGATCAAACTCCAAACTCAAGACTGCCGGCCAAACCAAACTTGCAGAGGTGATCGCTGAAATAAATGTTAGCATGGTTTCCTTGCATTCTGTGTGGCCTTCTCTCTTTCTGGAACCTGCCTTCCCCATGTTTGACTTAAAAAAGCAGGCCAAAGAGAACAAATATGTTTACGCCTTTAGGTTATCTTGGAGAAATAATTAAGTAGAATTACACTGACTTCATGCTGTATTAAAATCTAGCTTCCTGGCCAACACCATCAATGTGAGCCAAGATGGTTCTCAGAAAGTTAATCTTAGACCCTGCCTTTTTAGTTCAAATGAAAAGGAAATGTTTGAGAAGAGAGAACTAGTATAATATCAGGATCTTCCCCTTTTGGGGGGGTGGACGCTAACATATATAGCCAAACAAAAATTCTAATACTTATTAACTTCCATTTGAATGCTAAAAGGTAATAATGGCTCTCAGAGATATGTAAAAAATGTAATTTTGCAGAAATGCATTCTTTCAAATCACTACATAAGAATGATTTGCTATTTTGGGAAGCCTGGGTGGCTCAGTCAGTTAAGCAGTTGCCTTCAGCTCAGGTCATGATCATGGAGTCGGGGGACTGAGCCCTGCATCGGGCTCCCTGCTCGGTGGGAAGTCAGCTTCTCCCTCTGCCCCTTATCCAGCTCATGATCTCTCTCTCTCACTCTATCTCTCTCAAATAAATAGATAAAATCTAAAGAATGATTTGCGATTTCAAAAACTATTAATCAAATGCTTCAGTATCATACAGTAATATCGAGAAAACTCTTAAAGCTCATATAATACATCATCTTTATTTTACAGAGAAGAAAACAGGCCATTGTGGACAAATGTCATTTAAAAAGTCACATTGCTTGGTAGCAGAGGCTGTAGGCAGCATGCTTCATCCCAGTTTTCATTCTGCAGCGTGGAGGTGCTTGCAGGTTTTACTGGGTTCTTAGGAGTAATTATTATAATAGGAGCATTTTTAAAGTCACTAACATGTTCTAAAGAACATTTTTAAAGCGTATGAAAAGAAAATTAAATGATGAAAAACAGTTTAGAAATCTGTTTTCACTAGAAAAATCAATAGCATTACCACATCGGACACAGAGCACAAGCTCTGAGGCCAACTGATCACAACCTAAGAAATTAAGAATTAGTTTAAAGTAGACATAGAAATCCATCTTTTAATGAAAAAAAGTTACACAGGCATGGCAAAGCGTGTGAGTGTATGTGTGTGTTTTAAGGACTGAGAAACAGCACTGAGGCTGACCTCTCTAG